GTGCGGGCAGGAGCCTCCTGGCTGGGGAGGGCTCCCCGGGGCGCCTGTCCCCCTGCCCTGGCCGCGGGGACGCCAGGCAGGCATGGTCGGATACGACCCCGAGGCCAAGTGCGTCTCCACGGTGGAAGCGGCTGTAGCAGGATCGGCGTCTGGCTTGGTCACTCGGGTGCTTGTCAGTCCCTTAGATGTCATCAAGATCCGCTTTCAGGTACCTTCCTTACGGCATGCGCGGGGTCGGGGGGTGAGGGAGCCTGTCAGAGCAGAGCTGGGCTTGTCCTGGATGAATAGGTCGCTTGTGCAACCACGGAGCACTAAAGCTGCTCGTCAGCCCTCACCTACGCTGTATACAGGTTATGCAAGGTAGTAGGACTATCTTGTGTCACCACTTCTGTTTGTATAACTCGTGTGTTTGAATGGCATCTTGTGTTTTGTGTTTTTCATAGTTTGTTCTCTCTCTCTGCTTTTCTGAATGATCTCCACTATCTGAATTTCACCATCATCCCTAGTGATAACCTTTGTGTGGTGTGCATGGTTTTTATTCTTTTAGAACCCTCCGTAATCACATCCCAGTCCATTCTAGATGTGATTCTGTGGGAAGGCAGAATGTCACCTCATAGCATTGGTTGCCTAACAGGGCTGTGAATTCCTGAATGGGACACTTGAGCCTTGTTGACGTATGATGCGGAATTGAAAGTATTTTCTCTGTTTTCCTCCAGCTTCAGATTGAGCAGCTCTCCTCCAGAAACCCAGCAGCTAAGTATCATGGTATCTTACAAGCTGTACGGCGCATCTTCCAGGAAGAGGGGCTGGTAGCCTTCTGGAAGGGGCATGTTCCTGCTCAGTTCCTTTCAGTTGGCTACGGAGCAGTTCAGGTGAGGGGACCAGACATCACCTGGGCCCAGCATACATACGTAGGACTCTGCTTTTTTTCAGACTGGCTGTATGGGCAGCACATAAAAGATCCAGGTTTAAACTGTACTCATGCAAACCAGCTCTAGTCTCGATGTGTAGTTGTATAATGCTGATGTATAATTCCTAAGTTAATATTCCTGAGCTTGCTGAACAGCCTGCCTGGAACACAGCTAGAGAAAACTGAATTATGGCTGTATCTGGTATCACAGACAAGCCCTGTTTGTTCCTGGCACTTGGCTTAACTGTTTGTGTTCCAAGTCTGTAGTTTTTTCCTTTTGTTAATGTTGTTGCCCTAACAGCTTGATAGGAGAAAATCAGTGAAGCTGATGATGGCGTGTTACACAGCATTGTTAATGCTTAATTTATAAGTATTAACACCACTTTTAATGAGCCATGGGTGAAAGAGTAGTGGATAACCTATTTGTAATATTGCAAATACAGAGCATTAAAATGAGTTTTTCCCAATTCTAAATGCAAGATTTAGCAAAAGGGTCAGAAATCAGAATATCCCAAGCATTCCTCAGGCTGCTCAGTGATTTTTACAAGGTGTTCTTTGAGCACATGCTCCAACAGGTTACAAGTTGGGGAGGACTTTTGAAGGACAGAGAGAAAAGGTGGTTAGAAGCAGTGGGTGGAGCTGTTTTGGTGAAATGGGAGAGGAGTGGGAGATCCATGTCAGTGATAAGGATTGACTCCTTGACCTGTGTATGTTTGTTTCTTTAAGTTCATGGCATTTGAAAGCTTGACAAAACTGGTGCACAACGTCACCTCATACAATGCCCGCGATTCCTTTGTGCACTTTGTCTGCGGTGGACTGGCAGCTTGCACAGCCACTGTCGCAGTTCAGCCTGTTGACACGCTACGCACCCGCTTTGCTGCTCAGGGTGAGCCTAAGGTATGGCTGAGGATTTAATCTTCGGAATTATAATCCATAACAGTAGCAGTATTTTACGTGTATGACTACAGGAGGTTTGAAAAGTATGTAACAGTCTGTGGGTTAACACAAAGGAGCAGGTGCTGTTATTGGCCAATGTTTGCACTGTTGCCAAGTTATCCCCTGGGCTGTTGACACAGCTTTCTTAATTATGTTTTGCTGTTCCTGATTGTGTTTGACTCCTGACAGGTGATCCAGAAAGGAGAAACTCTTCCTTAACAGGATAACTCAATTTTCATTTGGCCTGTTGGCCATTTACAGAATGCACTCCCCAGTCTGTTGAACATTGCGTGTTTGAAACTTTCCACTTGCTTAGATAGTGATTGTGGTGATACTTGAAACCAGTCACCTTTCACCTGTGTTTTGTATTCTTATTTGTGTAAGAATCAGTCTCCAGGCTAATTAGGACTGTCGTAACTAGACTCATAGGGGTTTGTATCAGCCATTTCTAGTTTTTGACTTAGCCTGCACTAGAATCACAATATATAAGAATTCTGTTACAGGAGCAAGCAGAGCTGTTAAGAGAAAAATATATATCTGTGATGCAAGTGGTCTCAGGCCACAGCTCTCAGCTCTGTGCCATGTTTCTTCCCCTCAGAAGCACAGCTTGGTTGTGGGATACAATGTCAGCCCAGGCCTCAGTGCAGAGCTAAGGACCATTTGTTCGTTAGCCTCTTGCAGCTCAGAGGTAGGTTGAGATTGTCAGTTCACTTCTAAGAGGCACAAGGGCTTAGCTGAGAATGCTGTGTGATTCAAAATATTCAAATATTCAGAATACTGTGTGATGCAAAATCACTTTATTCATCTCTTTGTGCTGAAAATCAGTCCATTGTATTTTGGGCAGTGGGAAATGCCTGTCCTTGTTACTGGGAAATAGCCTGACCTTTGGTTTGCTGGTTTTAAGCCTGTCTCACTAGGGAGTCAGCCTCTCCTTTATTGTCTAGATCTATCACAACCTTCGCCATGCAGTGGTGACGATGTACCAGGCAGAAGGGCCTCGGACTTTCTACAGAGGTTTGACCCCCACAATCGTTGCTATCTTTCCATATGCTGGTCTCCAGTTCTCCTTCTACAACATCCTGCAACAGTTTTCTGAATGGGTGATCCCAGCTGAAGGAAAGAAAGGAGGTAGGCACTTGGGACGGTGATGTCTGTGACCTGGAGAGAAAGAGAGGATGAATGCTAGTTTGAGAGACTGACATAAGCTCAGTTTTCTTTCTATCACCCTTTTTTCATGCAACATCTGAAAAGTATCTCAATTTCCCTTCTCTCATTCTGCACAGATATTGCAAAAGTAAGTGCAGGAAGTTTACAAACAGCTCCTGTTATGGAATAACCATAATCAAAATGTGGATGGATGGGGAAGTGAAGTGTCACAGGCCAGGGTACTCTTTCTTGAGCTGTGTCACATTACTGATACTGGGGAAAGACAGTGCTGATGTAATCTTTCTGTTTCATTAGTGCTATGGGGACAGGACTCTTGGACTTCCGTCAGAAATCTGCCTGCAGATTCTAGCACAGCTGTTACAGAAAAGGATTAATTTAGCCTAATTTAAAACTGCCAAGCTCTTGATTTGATATTTTTATGTTGATTTCTAGTTCTAAGAGAACCTCATCCTGATGCAACCTGTCCCCTTGACAGTTCTGGATACTAGTGCCTCCCTGAGAGAGAGGGTGTGCAGCATCAGCACGGTGTTGTTCCTTAATGGAATTTCTTCAGTAGAGGAACTATACTTTTCAATATTATGTCTGCATATTTATTTTTAGATGGCAGAGAATGATGGTGGGTTTGTGCTGGGAACTTGGGAAATAGTCTAATATCACAAAACTAATTTCCCTCAAGCCTCTGAAGTCATCAGGCAGTGTCAATTTGTGACTTATTCCAATCCAGAATAAGATTGAGCAATCAGGAGTGTAAGATTTCCCGGGACTGGGTTTTTATTGGGGGGCATGAAAACTTTTCCACCCACTAGTGGCAGGTTCTCTGGTGACTGGATTGATTTTTTTTTTTTTATTTTTTTGTGTGTGTGTGTGTGTGTGCAACGCCACTCGGCAGAGCAAAGACATAAATCAGTGTAATGAACCAAAATGAGCTGTTATGCTCTGGCTCTAACGACCATTGCGAGCCTGATGTAGAAAATACAGATTGAGGTTCTGTGGCCCAAACTGTCCTGAAGAGGTAACTTTTTGGCCTTACTTCTTGTGAAAAGTGATTTTTAACCACCTCTCATGATCTTTAATCAGAACTCCCTGCTAATCCTCTTTTTTCCCCTCCTCACTATCCTCTCCCCTTTCTGCTTCTCAGGCAACGTTAAAAACCTTGTTTGTGGCAGCTGCGCTGGAATCATCAGCAAAACCCTCACTTACCCTTTTGATGTGTTCAAAAAACGACTACAAGTGGGTGGCTTTGAGCATGCCCGGGCAGCCTTTGGGCAGGTGAGAGATGTTGGAATTGTCTGATTTTCTTGAATGTGGATTTGCATCACGACAATCCAGAGCCAGTCCATCGCACCAGAATGCAGTGATGATTCACCAGTGGTACCTGTTGGGTCATATTTGGGTTGGGAACTCCCCGGGAACTTTTGAGAGCTGACCGTTGGTCTCACTTAATGATGCGAATAGCTGCATAAATATTCTGGGTTAATTTTATGACCTTGTCGAACATATCTGTGCTCTGCCTCCTCCTCCATCTCCATCAGGTTGGCTGTCTTGGAGCTGGGGGTGAGTTAGGCAGGCAAAGGAGTTTTGATTTACTTTACTTTTCTAGTTGCAGCTTGATATTTCTGATTCAGGACCAAATTACTAGCAGAGGATGACACTAGCTTTATGATGGGATTGCCTGACTGTCAGGATCCTTTCCTGCAGTGAATATTTTGAGACAAGGAATGGGCACCAAGTGTTCAGCATGTATCTTATGTACCAGAACATCCTGAAATTCAAAGCAAATTAAATACTTCCAGTGTTCTTTAGCACCATCCTTGCTACCTTGAAATACTCTGTAAGATAAATACAGATCTTTTCAGGAACTATCTCTTTTTTTTCCGTGAAATGTGGAAATTTTCTTTTTTCCTTCAAATTCCTTGGATTTGAGAAGCAAATCGGTCTGTACCTCAAGAAACTCTGGGGTAGGAATTTGAAGTCTTAACCTATTGCAGTGGATGCTTTTCCTCTTCCAGTGAAGTACTGAATTTGTTTTTAGCATTGACGTGTCACAGGATGTTAACCCTTCACAGTGTGACACAATGACATGCAGACAGCTAATTTAGAGACTTCTAAGTGCTGAAGTTGTGTTTTCTTTCTGTCAGAAAACTGAAAAATTTTTCTTCCTTATAGAGCAAAGGGAATGGAAAACAGTAACAGCACAGTCTGAAATAACTTCACAAACTTGTACCACAAATAGTATGTGCTGTTGTAGCATAAATATCTTAGGCCATTCAGTTAGAATGATCTGCATAAGCCATTGCTGATGCAAAATATGTACTTCTCCTCTACCCCACTCTCTACAAACTGGCTCTCTGAAACTTTCAGTTAGTTATAATAATAGCCAGAAAGACATCTCCAGGCTGCACATGCAGATTATGTTTCTGTGGTATAGTTTGGGGATTTTAGTTCTTTTCCAGGTGCGTTGTCCTGGAGTTTCCTTGTTTAACCTTTTTGCCTTCTCTCTCCCAGGTACGGATCTATAGGGGTCTCCTGGACTGCATAAGGCAGATCATGCGAGAGGAGGGCCCAGGTGGATTCTTTAAGGGCCTTTCGCCCAGCTTGCTGAAGGCTGCTGTCTCGACTGGCCTTGTTTTCTTCTGGTATGAGCTGTTCTGCAGCCTGCTGTGTGCCCTGAAGAGCAGCGACAGCACTACAAGGACAGAAGGCTGAAAGGGACATGTATGTGGCTACCTGGTATCTCCCCAAGGAGGGGAAACTGATGGCTTTGCTCTGTCATGAGCATGTTGGAAATGTCAGAGCTTCCAGAGCTCCACCAGCCTGGAGGAAATCACCTCCTGGGACCAAGCAGAAGGAGAAGGTGACTGCAGTTCTGCTGAAGATACTGAACTGCTTTGCTGGAAGCTGTTTAGCTGGGCACTTTTTTTTCTCTAATATCAGCATACATTTAGTGGGGAGGGGGGGGGAACCAAGCAGACGACTACCTAGCAGAGACTCTGCTCTGAAAAGGCACCCAATCAAGTGGGTGAATTCCTGTGCTTGCCCTGGATCACAGGGAGGGATCCTGGCCTAGCTAGTGCTGCTTAACCAACCCAACGTCACTTCCTATCACTGCATCCACACAGCTTTATTTCCTTGCTCTATGGCCTACTGTCTGCACCATATTCTTTTCTCTGTGTTGCACAGATAGCTCTGTCCTGCTGCTGTGAACTTAGTTACAACCTTTTTAATGTGCACTGACCCTCGGTTATCCTTTGCTGCCAGCTGCTGCTTCTTGATTACCACTTGCTGGCTGCACATTCTCAGCCACCTTAAACACAGAAAAAGTAGATCATGCTGACCCAAACTTTCTTTAACTCTGGAGAGCTTGATTGTATCCTTAGTGCCCATTTCAATTCCTGCATGTCTTGCCAGGCATCTCTTAGGGTTTTGCATTGCCTCAGTCATGCTTTTTAGACCTGCAGATGAAGAACCCCGCTCTAAGGGGATTCAACGCACAAGTCCAATGCTTACTTCAGGGTTCTTTGCTTCAATGCAGTGAGTAAACAAATGCTGTATAGAGTTTTAGAAATATTTAGTCTAAGTTGGAATAATGAAGCAAGAGTCCTGTGGAAATTAGCAAATGTCTTTTAAAATACTACCTTCGAATGTTTCTAGCAAGTATTTCTGTAGTGGCCTCAAAACATTTCTGAACCTCAGTCCTACAGTGGTGCTAACAGATGAAAATGCTTTGACAAGATCAGCGGAAGTGAGAGGGCTGAACATCAGATCAGGATTGGTTGATTTAGGGTGGTTTTTGACAAGAAAAAGATGGTTGAATTGGAGCTGAAGAAGTGTTTTTCAGGAATTTCAAAGGTTTGTGAATGGTTGAAGAAAAAAAACCTCCTAACTCTGATTTACTTAACAGGGGGAAAAGAGGAAAATTACTTTCTTCCTCCTCTTTTTTTCTCTGTTTTTTCAAGCTGAGCAGGGTGTGGCTGGACCAGTGTGTGGAAGGCAGACTTCTGAGGAAGAGCCACTGTGATACAAAAGCATGTTAGTCATCTGGCAAGTGGTGGGTAGGGCAGAGCAGTTATTTAGAGGATGATTTGATGGTTCTTCTCTTAATGCAGGGCTTTTTGTGGCTCTCTTGCAACATTCAGGGTGTTAATCCCAAATGGTCTGGCCAGATTCCAGCCTGACCAATTCCATTCTGTTGACGCAACTTCTGATGATTTTGAGCATATCAGCATTGCTCACTTATCCTGAACTATTGTGAGAAGCTGTTTTTAAAGAGCAGCTGTTTCATGGGTGGCTGAGGTATCTAGAGAGATTCCTCGAGATTCCTTCCAAGCCCAGGCCAAATAACTTTGCTTCTGCTGTGATTTGAGTTCTTGGAGTGCAAAAAGTGGCTGTTTCACTGCAGGTGATGGAGAGCTATGTAAAATCTAATTCATTGAGCAGTGTCAGGCAGGAGGCTGATATGTGATCCTCGAAGAAGAGTGAGTGTTAGCTGCAAGTACTCTAAAAAGAGGAGAAAATGCAAAGAATGTGGAGTAAAGTTTCTCAAAGTGTCTCAATCCTATTGGCATTTTCCTGTGTTATTTAGGCTCTTCTGAGACTTCCCCAAAATCTTAACAATATTTTGCTTTTGTTTGTTGTTCATCTGTTGTTCTTGGAAAGGCATCATAACTGGAATTAACTGAGCCTCATGACATCCTTCTGAGGGAGAGAAATACCTTGTTCGAAACAGACACAAAGAGGTTGGGATTGCTACTGTCTTTTGGCCGCTGGTAGAGGGGAATGCTGTCATGGTTAGCAGGGATAGGACTGGCCACAGCAGAAAATTTTCTGGGCTGAACTAGGCTTCCATAGGAAACTGGGACTCATGCATCCTGTCTAAACGTTACAAGACTCGTGTTTTCCACTTTATGTCAGAGCTGCTGTTAAACTGCACAAAACAAGGGGAAACTGGTTAGGAACTCAGAAGTGGGAATTGCAACCTCTGGAATAGGGGGTGAGTTGCTTTGGCTGTCACAGGGGTAATGAATAAACAGAAAACTATGTGCTCTGCTAAGATGATGTTCCTCAAATGCTGTGGAGCTTGAGGTGAAGCAGGCATACAGCTTTAGGGACGTGCAACTCGGCTGCTCCACGGAGAGGGCAGCAATGGAGAGTATAGAGCTGGTTTTCCTCTTTGGGATAGTTTTTTCCTCCACTCTCCGTTAAGTGAGCTTGCCTCCATCCAACAGATAGCAAGGTCAGAGCTTAAGTTGTGCCAGTCTGGCCCAGGCTGTGAAGACGCTCCCTGGTCGGGGGCTTTGGGGCACAGCCTGCTTTATGTATCCCTTCAGGCTGTCATGAATGTTATAGACCCATAAAGGCACCTGGTCTTCTAGTGAGTGAGGGAGGAAGAAGTGACAACCTCAGCCAAACAATATTGAAAGTTGCGTCTAACAGTTGTTTCATCATTTGCCTGTGGTCAGCAAATTTGAAATAGCAGCATCTGTCTCAAATTTCCGACATGCACTTGGCTCACTGGGAGTCGCTGCTGGGGAAGGGAATATTGTTTTCTCTTTGGGAATGAGAGTGGTTTAGTGCAAAGCACTAGGAGGGACAGGTCTTATTTCTGATGCTGCTCTGGCAAAACACACACTGAAGATAAATCTCCTAGAACTAGAGGAGCGGGAGATGGGAGAGAGAGATCCGTAGTCACCTTGTTCTCCCATGTGCTGGGACAGATTTGCTCTCAGAAACGCAGCACACCAGTTCAGTTTCCAGTGACTCAGCGTGGTGAGTGACTTGCTGTGAGACTGCGCCAGAGTTTGCCGGTTGGGGTGGCTGGGATTTCACTCTGATGTAATCCTATCGGGGGGATTTGCGTTGCCTGAAATTCACCTCACAAGCTGCTCAGCAGTTACATCTGTTTTCTTCTAGTGCCTTTTACCATCAGAACATCCAAATGCACTTTAGCAGGAATAAGTGTGCCAGTCGGGTTGCACGGGGGTTGTCAGGGGATCCACCATCGCTCTCCGCTGGCCTGGGACGGGCGAGCATTGGCACACCAGTTTGGGGAGGAACACACTGTTCTGCAGCACCGGCTGGCTCGCTGAGTTTCTAGGACAATCCTATTCTCAGGATGCTCATCCAGAGCTGCACAGCATCGTTTTTGAAAAGAAATGAATGTTTTACAGTCAGGCTTGGAATAGATTGTATTAAAAGTGGGTTTAAGTTTCTCTTGTGATGTAGAACTGTAATTCTCTGCGGCGTTTTGCTGTGTTGCCTGAGTGGATCTTTTGCAGCAGCTGTTGTCTGAAAGCATCTGAGCACAACGCGTGCCTACCTTTGAGAAAAGGTACATTAAAGATTTCGTTATGCCTGTGTCTGGCTGCAGTATATTTATTGTTTTCCTCCTAGCACATACGCTCGGCTGGACTCTGCAGGGCAGCCGTGGCCCTCCTGCTGCCCGGAGGGGAGGATGATCCGGGCCCAGAGTGCGGGTGCCAGGAGCCATGTGGTTTTCCCTTCCCATCGCTGGGTGCTTCTCACCGCGGGGCAGGACCGTCTGGTCCCCGCTGCGGTGCGGGGTGAGACTCTGGGTATGGTGTGGCTGTTGAGAACCGCACCGAGGGGTTTGTGCCGCTCCCACTGCTGTGCCCGGGAGGGGCTGTCGGAGCCACGGCGGCTGGTCCCGAGCCAGGCCCTCGGGGTGGACGAGTTCAGGCTTTGTGTCTAGCCAGACCCCACAGCGCTGCAGAAAATGTTCCCAAACTGCTCAGTCTGCGTTTCCCGAGGCTGTTCTCTGGTTTCAGCAGCCTGGCTGCTCTGCTGTCCTCTAAATGCTGCGAAGGCTTCACCCCCCCCCGGGTCTTCCCCAGTGAAATGGTTGGGAGTTTATAAAGTTACAACGTGCAGTGTGTTCTACCACGCTCTGCTCCTGTTGCAGTGAGTTAATTTAGTGTATCTCCCCTTTCCTGATTCTTTTTTTGTTGTTGTTTATTTTGTTTATGCCACTCGGCTGCTGCCTGCCCTGCCCTGGAGGGGAGGACGGATTAAACGCGGTTTTCACGCGGAGAGCGGCAGCGCGGTGCAGCTTTCGCGGCAGAGCCCGGCCGGTGCTCGCTGGGGCAGCCCCGAGGGGACCGGGACAGAGGGGTAAGTGCTGCCGCCCAAACCGGGGGAGCCCCGGGGATCGCGCCGTGGCCCGGCGCTCGCAGGCGGTGGCGCTGCGGCGGTTCTCCCGCCCTGTCCCGGCCCGTCCCTCCCCCGGCTCAGGCGAGGAAA